GTTTTTTAATGCAGCATAGTATTCCATTGTGCGAATATACCACAGCTTCTCTAGCCATTCGTTTGTTGATGGGCACTTAGTTTGTTTCCAACTCCTGGGTCAGCTATGGCTTGGTTCTGGCTTGGCAGTGCACAACAGCAACAGAAAGAGATTCATAAAAATGGAATTACTCTAATAAAGGGTAGAAACACTGGGATAGAGGGTTGATATATACTTGACAACTATTTTAAATATTATGCATGCCAATTTATACTCCTGTCAATAAAATGTAAAACTGAATTACCACCTTTTCCTTTGCAAGAAATTTGCAGTATTTTGCTTTTAGTTCAAACCCAGTCATTTTGATAAGTGGAGAGGCTGTCTTCTTGGTCTTTCTGTTTGAACTTTCATTTGATTACCAAGCCCGTGTCATCATCATGTCCACTTGAGTCCCTGGTGTCCCATGAGGGTCAGAGCAGAACTGCATTCCTCCAGGTTTCCAGCAGCTGATTTCTTCTGAGACACCTCTGGGTGAACTTAAACTTCCAAGTGTTTAATGGTTTAGAACTTAGCATAAAATTCTTCTTAGGTATTTATTAGCTTTTGTGTGTCCACTCTTTGAAGAATTGTCAACCCATGCTTTAGACTCATTTTCTTATAGGGAGTAATGGAGGGGTATGCATTTTATGTCAGGATATTCAGGTTGATGATAGAATGCTCCCAGGAGTGTATGTTGTTGTTAGGTGCTGTAGTATCGAGTGCGACCCAGTAGCGACTCTGTAAATAACAGATCTGAACCCTGTCCTCTCCTGAGCCATCCTCACACTTCCTGACACCCTTTGCAGCAGTCACTGTGTCAATCCACCTGGTTGTCTCGAGGAAGCCCTCCCTCTGTCCGAGAGCTGAGAAAAGCCTGTCTTTACTTGTGGCTCTGTGTCCTGGTCTCTTGTCCTGTTTGGCCCCTCAGGTGCCCCTGCAGCCTCAGAGGCAAGGATCCCGGATGGAGGGACCTGCAACCCCAGGGAAGCCTCAGTCCCATCTCCCCACAAGCACTGGAAAGTGCTCAGTCTCAGCACAGATCCTCACCTCTCTAACCTTTTCTCCTGCAGCTAAATGTCTTCCTTTGTCTCTGGAATGGGGAGAGATCAGGGCGGTCAGCTCAAGCAGCATGTGTGCTGGGCGTCTCAAGTCAGCTCTCCCTCTTGGAGAGAGCTAAGAAAATTCTTTCCTCTACTTGTCGCCCTGTGTCCCAAAATTTCTTGTCCTATTTGGCCTCTGGGATGGCCCCACAGCCGCAGAGGCAAGGATCCCCCTCAGTTGACCTTGTTGAGGGCCTTCCTCTCCTTCACCAACCCTCTGCCTTTCCAAGCATCATGTTCCTCTCTAAGGAATAGCCCCTCCTAACATTATGCTTGAAGTCCATGAGGTGAAGCCTAATCATCTTTGCCTCCAAAGAGGACTCTGGCTGCACCCTTTCCAAGACATATTTATTTGTTCTCTTGGCCGTCCATGGGATGTTCAATGCTCTTTTCACCTCCAGCACCGCAGCTCAAAGACATCAATTATTCTTCTGTCATCCTTATTCATTGTGCCTCTCTCAGATGCAATAGCAAGTGATCAGAAAGATCATGGCCTGAATCACACACACTTTAGTTCTCTACCTGATATTGTTACTCCTCAGTAATTTGGACAGGCCCGTCACTGCAGACTTACCCAATGGTATGTGTTTCCTGATCTCCTGACTGCTGGTACCAAGTGTACTGATTGTGTATCCAAGTAAGATGAAGTCTCTCACAATGTCAATCTTTTCTCCACCTGTCATGATAGTATTGTTTCTTGGGCCAAGTGGTGAGAATTTTTGTTTTCTTGACATTGAGGTGCAATCTATATTAAAGGCTGCAGTGTTTGATGCAGCAAGTGCTTCAATTCCTCCTCACTTTCAGCAAGCAGGGATGTGTCTGTCATCTGCATACCAAAGGTTACTGATGAGTCTTCCTCCGACCCTGATACCATATTCTTCTTCATAGAGTCCACCTTCTCAAATAATTTGTTCAGCATACAGATTAGAAGCAGTGTAGAGAAAAGATTCAACTCTGACACGTTCCTTTCTTAATTTTAAACCATGTAGAGTTCCCTTGCTCTGTTTGCACAGCAGCCGTTTGGTCTAGGCATAGGTTTTGCATGAGCACAATCAAGTGTTCTGGGATTCTCATTCTTCACAGTGTTAGCCTTAATTTTGTTATGAGCCACACAGTCAGGTGCCTTTGCAGCCAATAAAGCACCAATAGACATTCTTCTGGTATTCTTTGCTTTCAGCCTGCATCCATCTGACATCAGCAGTGATATCCCTGATGCCATGGCAGCTTCTAAATCCACCTTGGACTTTTAGCAGTTGTCAGTGTACGGTTCTAGCCATTTTTAGATGATCTTCAACAGTATTTTACTTGCATGTGCTATTAATATTGTACAGTAATTTCCACATTCTGTTGGATCACAGTTCATGGGAATGGGAACACATATGAAGGTTTTCCAGCCAGCTAGTCAGGCCGTTGTCCTCCCTATTTCCTGACATAGACTGGTGAGTTTGTCCAGGGCTGCATCTGTCATTTGAAATATATCATTTGATATCCCATGGATTGATTCCTGGAGCCTTGTTTTTCTTGCCATTGTCTTCAATGCAGCTTGAAGATCTTTGTTCATTACCATTACTGATCATATATGATATATCCTAAAATATTTCACTGTCAGCCAGTTCTTTTTGATACAGTGATTCTGTGTATTCCTTCCATTGATGCTTCCTGGATCATTAAAGATTTTTGTCCATTGCATTTCTAAATATTGCAGCTTGGGAGTGTGTAGTTTAGTTAAGTCATAAAAACTTGTGAGTAATGGCATAAAGAATTGATGTTAGGGAAAAGCTCTGTTCAATTTGGAACTATAATTTCGCTATGTTTAACTATTGACCTGTGTGAGCTTACCACTGTGACTGTCATATTTTTGAGTGTCTGGAGCTAGTTGAAAAATGAAAATACTAAGACTTCTAGTTCTTGAAATGTGTGATTGCAGGTGATGTGTGTGTGTTGTTTGTGTTGCCAATACGTGTAGTATACAGTTGCTTCAGAATGGTTCCCTTTTATTTTCCAATGGGACATTCCTTTGCATTGTTGCTCCATTGTTCTTTTTGTCTGTTTCTGTTTTTCATTTATTGAGAGAAGATAAGACATAGAACAGTAGGACTAAAGAGGAAGGATTCAACAAAAGACAGTCTGTAGTGAATCTGTGAACGTGGTTTATGAAGTGCATGATGCTTCAGTCAGTCTGAAGGCACCACATCCCACAGGCCTCTGTTCTGTGCCTCTCCTCTGCTCTCAGTAGCAGAGAACGGTCATACCAACACTGCTGGGCCACTGGTCCAAAGAAGCCTTCTCTTACTCCCTTTGCTTTTTGAATCGATACAGCCTTAAGATTCATTTTATAGAGTTTAACTCTCAGCCATAACTAGGTTGCATAATATGTAACAGCTCAAATTCAAAAGCCTTGAACTCACTGCCACCAAACTGATTCTGACTCATAAGATGTCCCCATGGGGCTTCCAAGGCTGTGAGGATTAACAGGAAGAGGTTACCCATCTTTCTTCCGAGGAGCCACTGATGGATTTGAACTTCTGGAGAGAAACACAGCCTCTGGGTTCACAGCACAGCTCACCATGGACTGCGCCGCCAGAGCTCCTTTTATAACAGGCAAAAAGAGCTGCTACTGAAATGCTTCTTCCTTTTGTCTCCGACAGTATTTTAACTACCTGTACACCTACAAAATGCCTGGGGACATCAAGAATTGGGTGGATGCACATATGAACTGTGAAGACATTGCAATGAACTTCCTGGTGGCTAATGTCACAGGAAAAGCTGTCATAAAGGTAGGAGAAAGCCTCGCCTGGCTCTGTGATCTTGAGCGAGTCTTTGTTTTGCTGCCCCTGAAATGTTCTCAGAACTGTAAATGAAGTGTTTGACTAGCTCAACTTTAAGCCCCCTTGACTGCAAGACTCTGCCTGACTCTCTTGCCGTGTAAGGCTGAAGCCGAAATAACCCACTGCAGTCTTCCATCAGGTAAACCTTTAGGGGATGACACTGCCCATCCTGTGGAACAGCTGGTAGATTCAAACCCCCAACCTTTAGGTTAGCAGCCCCACACCTAAGGTACCATTCCATCAGGGCGCCTTAACAAATTGAAACTAGACTTTGACTCTTTTCTTTTAAAAGTTAGTTGGGGTTTTTTTCCCAGTTACAGTTTTTAAACTTCATCAAAGATAAAGGCAATAGTAGCCAATCCATAAGTTACATTTTAAAAATACTTGATCATTGAAGCTAATTTGAATCTCTGTTGGCTAAAAGACTAGTTTACATTTTAAAGCAGCTGGTTTTTTAAACATATGTTAAGAAACAGCAGTACATCTTATACAATCATACTTCAGTTGGACTAAACATTGCTTTTAACTATTAAATCAAAATAATGATTACTTACCAGATTTTTAAATTATTTTTCCCTTAACACATTAAAAACTGAGAGGATATGGGGATCATCTTGTCTCTGTAATACACAGCAACTTCTCCTTGAGGTGCAGGCTTTAGGTCAGTCAGGCCCCTTACTATTTAAAGTGCACTTCGTCCTGGGAGTGGAATCATCTTGGCCCATTTTCCCTTCTGGGTTAGAATTCCCGTTGGAAATGGGCAAAGCTCCTAGGCCAGACTCCCAGAGGAACTCGGTGGGAGCGTGGTGGGGTGTTCCCCGCTGACGATTCCGTTAACTGGTGAGAGAAGCCAGGGGGAAGCAAAGGGCCTGAGGATAGAGCACAAGTCCCTGCTGGCATTCACTGACCTTGACCCAGCCCTCCATTCCTCAGCCAACAAGGGCCTGGAAAGAATGTTGATTGAAAGAATGTAACGTCAAGAGGCCAGTTTGAAAGGGACTGCCTTCATGGCCAGCTCTTCCTTTTCACGTGCCTCAGTATGTTTTCATGGGAGGGTGCCTCCTCTGGGCCGTACCTCCTGGCACCTCTGTGCTCTTAGCCTTGCCGTAATGCTCGCACTTTCTATTCCTTCCGGTCGGTACTGTTTCTTCATCTTTAGTAGGTTAGGATAGCCGTGTCCTCTACGTTTTCTGGGAAGATTGTGCAAGCAAACGGTTTGGGAGGAGGGCGAGGAAGGAAAAGCAAAGGATTCAGAGGACGAAGGAGCATTGAACCTTTGTCACTGATTGAGGGGAGCTGCAGAATCACCAGCATCTTCAAGAGCCGGGTGCGCTAACAGCATCTGCCATTAGCTGGAAGAAGAAGAAGGGACGCCTGTTGGAACTAAGGTTACGGTGAAAGTTATGGGAAGCTGTATTTCATCGCCCTTATAGCTGCAAGAACAAATGGTGTTTATACAAGGACCTTGGCAGTGAGAAAACAGTCATTAAACAGGAATTAAGGAGCTTGTCATCACCACTTCTTTCCAGTTACAGAAGGCAAAAGCCCTCCAAGCCTTTTTTATTGGGCCCTTGTGAGTTCTGCCGTTGGCTGAGCCAGACAGAATTGCACGGAGGAATGGAGAGAGGTTGTGTGTGTGTGTGTGTGTGTGTGTGTGTACATGCATGCATGTAGAGAACCAGGCATCTCGGTTTACAGCCCAGACACGGGCAGAGGCGTCACAAGCGTGAAGTTACTGTCCTTGGCACTGACAGCAGGTAATGTTTCTGTGCTCCCCTGGCAGGTCACTCCACGAAAAAAATTCAAGTGCCCAGAGTGCACAGCCATCGATGGACTTTCTCTCGACCAGACGCACATGGTGGAGAGGTGAGCAAGCCTGTAGGCAGCAGCGGGCCGAGCCCCTGATCCCCATTTCCTGCCATGGGCCTGTTTATGGGACTTGGGTAGAGATGTAAGGAGAGCAGCTGGGAGCCACAGTCAGCTCTTTCGGCACTGTGGGAAATGGGTTAGTTCAAGCCCAGGTCACCCAAAGAATTAATTTGGAATGCTACTCACCCAATTTGTAATGGCTGGAAGGGTCTTAAAAATATAGCTGGCCTTAAGCCCCAGAAGCCAGATTCTTCGTATGGACTAAGCACTTAACCATCTACAGTCATTTGAGTGGAAGGTAGTTAATTCTAAGGAAATACTGGGTTGGTTTTAAGGGTAGTACGTGCATGTTATAGTGAAAACTTGATTGGAAATAATGAAACCAAAGCCACCAGAGGCAAATTACCTTTGCTGGCGCTCCTACCACACCTGCCACGAACAGGGAGGAAAGCAAAGCCATGGACTTTTCAGAGTGAGAAAGGCAGGGCCGCTCGGAAGTGTTCCCTTTATTTCCAGTCAGGCATTTCTTCAACAAGTACACCTTTGAATGGAATGTGATTGTGGGCGTTGGAGGTGAGCAAAAAATGTGGGAGACATGTGCCTTTCCTTAAGACCATTATAATCATGTTATAGACCTTGGTTCTCACTTGTAACCCAAAGCATTGAACCACCTGCATTAAATCTGCTTCTTCAAAAGGCAGCCCCTTGCACGAGTCGGCAAGCATGCATCACGGGCAGTCCCTCAGTTCCCAATGAGATCAGTTCCGAACTATGTCTTTAGGAATTTGTAGGCGAGTTGGACCAGGTGCAGACGGTTCTTATTTAACCTTCCTTCAGTGCAACAAAAGGCTTTTCAGTGATCTGGAAGCTGCACATGCAGCAAGTGAAGGTGATTGTGATAAAGAATTTGTTGCAAGTAGGAGTTAGTTCAGTTATTTGGAAGTGAGGGCAAATTTATGTAACATTAAAGGACAAATAGGTTTTGTCTATGGGCGGACATTTGTCACTGGGGACTACCTGTAGTGTCAAGGGACCAGATGCACTCAGGGAAGGTTATAATGGCCTTAAGGAATGAGCTGTCCAGTTCAGGTTTCCCCAGGTCACGTATGCATCTGCTTACAGCAAACATTTCTGAAACTTACCAGATATTTTCAGCTGACCAAATTTCTAAACAGAAAGTTGGTCAGTTGATCTGGCTTCTTCCATAAGGCTTAGCATCTCTTACTCTGTAAATAATCTCTTTTATCTCTCTCAGGTAATCAGGACATGACTCTTATTAGTGGCCTATGTGAAATAATGTATTATAGTAAAAAATGCATTGTAGTTTTGCAAATAATCTGCCCTTACATTGTAAGTATTGCACAGTTCCAGGCAGTGCCATTAACTGTAAATGGCGCATTTTGGAAGAGACCCCAGTTGTAGTCCCGTCAGAGTACGTGAAATTGTTATTTAAACTTGACTCTTTTGGAGGAGCATTCATAGTATTAAGGTAGGTGGTGATTGATTACCAATTGCCACTGGATTTATTTTGACTCATGATATAACTCCATCTGTGCTGAGCTATAACTGGGATCCACACCTTTTTCAGAGGCTTTGTTTACAGGAGTAGATCATCAGACCTTTCTTCCGTGGTGACGGTGAATGGACTTGAACCTTTGTCCTATTGGTTAGCAGCCAAGTGTGTTAACTGTTTAAATCATAGAAATACTGGTTATTTAAAAAACCTCCTTGCCGTTGAGTTGGAACCAACTCATAGCTGACCCTCCATTGCATTTCTAAGGCTGTAAATAGCAGGGGAGGAGATTGCCCGTGTTTCTCTATAGCTGCTGGTGTATTCAGACCACCAGTGAGGTGTGGCCTATGACTTAACAACTCCCTAGGGACTGTGCCACCAGAGTTCTCTAGTTAATTGTTGTTGTTAGATGCTGTCGATTGTGATTCGTAGCGCCCCTGTGAACAACAGATTTGAACTCTGTCCTATCCTGTGCCATCTTCACAGTTCTGACACACTGGAGCCCATTGTGGTAGTCATTGTGTTTCAACTGACTTCCCATCTGGGCTCTACTACCACACTTCTGTTTAATTAGGTGACACTGAAATGATGAGGTTATACAGATCAGGAAAAGAAGGGTGAGGGGAAAGGCCGGCACATTCATGCAGGTGTATGAATAGCACCGTTTGAGATCATCTCAGAGTGAAGAGGCTCAAAATGCAGTAAGGGCTCTAATCGGACATTGTTAAACACTGAAGAGCGGAACTAAGGAAGGTGTGTGTGTAGGCTTCCCCTGTGAAGATGTTTCAAAATAAGATCCAGTGGGCAGATGCCTAGATGTCATTACACGTAAATCAGACCATTGTTCCCTTCTTACAGATGCACAAACTGAGGTTCAAAGAGGCTGTCTGTCCTCAAAAACTTACACCTAGAATCACCATATTGTTCTTGTGATTAGTCGTCATTGGGTCAGTTCCAACTCCTGGCAGCCTCGTGCATAGAGTACAGTATCACAGGCTTTTTAGGGCTGTGCCCTTTGGGGAGGAGATCACCAGGCCTGTCCTTGTACGCAGTCCTGGGTATTTCACCAGCATCTTTGCTAGTGTTGTGCATTGCCGCTTGGAGACTATACACACGTGTGTATGACTAAAGGAGCCCTGGTGGTGCAGTGGTTAAGCAGCTGTTTGCTAACAGAAAAGTTGGCAGTTCCACCTCCCAGCCACTCCCTGGGTGAGATGGGGCCGCATGCTTCCCTAGGCTTAAGAGCCTTGGACACTCCAGAGGAGTGGGTCTACCTGTCGGAAGGGAGCGTCACTGTGAGTCAGGGTCAGCTTGATGGCAGTGGCTTTATCTAGAACTGCAGTCCAGAGCAACACATGAGAAGTACCATGAGGTCAGCTCAAAGTGTTATAGTATATAAATATATAGAATATAAAGTATTCTGGCTCCTTCCATGTGATTTACAGCCTCTGAAAATCCACCTGGAGGGTCAGGTAGGAGTCAGTTCTAACTGATGGCAAGAAGTATAAAACAAAAATAAATATTTTGGAAGTTAACTGCCAAGACAGGATTTGGCTTGGGGGGGGGGGCAAAAAAACCCACCTGAGAGTAGAATCTTAGGAAGTTCTGATATTTAGGAGCCATTCGAAATGATAACTGAAAGTGGAGAAGCAGCTGCTGTCGGCGTCAGGGGTGACTCAGAGCTCCAGTGCTCGGAAACAGGGAAGGAGCATGGGACACACAGACAGGGAGGAGGCCTGGGATCACGTGGGCCTTGGGGACCTTGAAAAACGTCATTTTTAAAAGTGACAAAACCAGTGGGTGCTGGAGCAGCAGTGATGAGAAAGTTGAGTTGGTTGGGACAGTCCAGTCCCTTTGGGAAACGTGTAAGAAAACAAAAGGAGAGAGTTCGTGAGCTAAATTTGAAACAAGAGTAAAGTTGTTTGGTTAAAGATTGAATTTCAAGTAAAGATTGAGCTTAGATTAGGGGAGGAAGGCACGTTTGAAGCCATCCTGGGCAGATGGAAAGGTCCCTGGCTGGCACAGATGCCTCGTACCTGACAACTAGCCCAAAGGCTGTCAGTTCAAACCCACCCTGCAGTTGTAGTCTGCCTTCTATAAGAACTGCGGCCGCCTTGTGGAGCATTTCTAGTCCATCACATGATTTATCACGAATTGGTAATGCCTCAGGGTGTGGATTTAGTTTTTGGATTTTGGTTAGCCTGGACATACAGATATACCTATGGAATTGTTCCCGTTTTTTAATAGTTCCCTTTGTTGGATAAACATGCCACATAAAACAGTGAAAACCATTAACCTATTTATTAATCAATGACCTTGCACTGGTTTTTATGGCTCATGGACCCTGGAGTCTGAGAGCCAGAATCTCAGTTGTGTAGAGTGGTGGCCTCGACTGCCCAGCATCTGTTTCCAGGACCTGCTGTTAGCGCTTTCAGACCAGAAGAATGTAGTTGTGGATTTTTTGACAGTGGCTTCCCCAAGATCAGGACAGCGTGGCAGACAGGCCAGTGTTGGCAAAAGAAAAAGAGTTTAGGATTGAGATTCAGGCCAGTCTTTGTTCAAGCTATAGATCTGTCTCTCACTGTCCGACCTGGGGAAACTTGCTCACCTTACCTGAACTTCAGTCAGTGCTTCCACCACCTAAAGCAGGCATGGTTATTAATAACTTTACAGTCCCAATATCTCTTCCCAGCTTTAGCAAATATTTTTTTTAGTATCTCTGTGCTAAACAGTGTGCTTGGGAAATGCATGAAAGCCTCGACAACGTCCTCTTCCTTGACAGCTTCCCTTGCCGTATTCCGAAAGGCCCCAGTAACTTCAGGTAGTGGTATGTCTGTGAGAGGAAAGCAGGCCTTCCCACCCCTTGCACAGTCGTTAGGAGCCTCTGACTTTGGCAGTTCTGAGTGTGTTCATACTTGATTAGAAAACCAATCCTGACAAGGGAGTTGGATGCTGGACAGTACAACTCAGGAGAGCTACTAGCAAGCAGCCAGACTCATTATCCACCCTAAGTTGTTCCCCAGGCCAGGCTGCCTTGCACAAGAAAGCGGGAAGCACCGCCATTACCTGGCAGAAGGGATGAGGACCTTTGCCATTCCACGCGGACCAGCTGCTTCTCCAGCACAGTCTGTGGAGGGAAAAGGAGGACTCACTGGTCCTGGGTTAGCCGGGGGCAGCTGTCAACAAGTCAAGCTGGCCTCGGCCCCAGTGGCTTCTTGCCTGTGGCCCATGCTCTGTTGGCAGATAGTTACAGAGGAGACATTGTTCTCGGTGCTCCCCACAGGGCCGTGGAGCCGCCCGCCTCTGCCAAGAACCAGTCCTCCTCTTAAATACATGCTCACCAGTGACTGTGTTGGAGATGGCTGGGCTTTGCTGGCCACAGTTGACGTGCATAATAACTGGAAACTAAAAGAGTCTGTACGTGTTTACAGGCAGAACAACTGTCAAAAGTAAAAGCCTGGAGAGATTTCACTTTGCCTGTCACTGCCGTGACCTCATAATTTGAGGGCAGGGAAGCCACGGGTCAGTGTTTGTCCCACACCACATTGCTAAAACCCCTCAGCCTTTTCCGCAGTCTTCCCTCAACTTGGAATCTAGGCTCCCACCTCCTGGGTCTCCAAGGACTCACAGCAGGAGAGAACCTCAATTACAGGCAAGCTGAGGAGGACTTGGAGTCCACTTGCCGGCCCCTGGTTATGGCACTGGATGATGGAGACGACAGAGGCTTTGTTGCCAGGGCAAGCGGGATTGGAAATCCAGCTCTTCCACTATCTAGCCCTGGGGCCTTGGACAAGTAACTTTTATCTTCTCTGATGTCTTCTCTTAATGTCTTTACCCGTAAAATGAAGCTATAGTGAACCCAACCTTTTAGGAAAACTTTGCACAATTCATGAGGAAATGTGTGTAAACTGTCAGTACTTAATAGATGCTTACCTTTTGTTATTTGCCGGCCTCTCCTCTAGAATGAAGTTAATAAATACATTTGTATCATGTCCTTTGTCCCAGGAGTCAGAATGCCTGAGTTTAACTCAGCCTCTTACTACTTGTCTACACCTCAATCTCCCAATGCAAATGCTAGTAGAACCTAATGAGAAGTATTGTTGTGTACCATTGAGTCAGAACCAACCCATAGCTGACCCTCCAGTGAGTTTTCAGAGGCAGTTAGTCACACAGGAGAGAATGCCCAGCCTTCTACCTCGGAGCAGTTGGTGGGTTCAAACCGTGTGCCTTTGGGATTGCAGCACAGCTTCTTACCACTAGGCCACCAGAGCTCCCTATAGGGAGTAAAACCCAAAACATAGGGTGGTTGTGAGAATGAAATGAGTTAATAATACGTGTGAAACGCATTCAGTGCAGCCTGGAACATGTAATAAACACTAGTTGTTGAGATTGGTGGCAGTGATGGCGGTAATGCTATTAGCTAGAAAAATGGAAGAGTAGCAATTATTTTTAAGAGATACAATGATCAAGTGAAGGGTGTTTTTAATGACCCTCTTCAAATAAAAACTTGTTGATTGAAATGATTATGGTATCTCTGAGAACAAAAGAGACTTTAGATCTGAGTCTTAGAGTTCAGCTCTTTTTTTTTTAATTTTATTTTATTAATTTTAATGAACATTTACAGAGATTTTGGATTTCCATTCATTCATTGTTGCACTTTTTTCTCTACCCTCCCCCGCCCCCCCAGTTCAGCTGACTCTTGATTGATGGTTCTGCCTCTGCTTCATTTGTTTTCATTGGAGTCCCTCAGGTGCTGTAGGCCTGACTGAAAAGAGAGTCTGGACCTTTTTGAAGTCCGTCCTTGAGCTCCCAGTTAACTTCAAATGTCGATTTTATAGTGCTTTTTCTATTTTTTCTTTTTTTAGGCTTGCTTTTTCATTGTGTTCTGGAGTTTTCATTACCCCAAACTGTCACATAGCATTGGCCTGGTTGACCAGAAATCTTTCTTACAGACTGCCCGATCTGCAGGCCTCTGAAGCCATAGCTGTCGGGGCTTTGAGAGGGTTCCACAGTCGGCAGTTGGTCTTGCTGCTCCTTCTAGCGAGGAAATGACTGAAACGGAGCAAACACTCCTATGATGTAACTGCAGCTTTCACAGAAACCTCGCTGGGGTTGTCTGATCTTTCCCAGAGAGCGTCACTTCATTACGGCCTCACACTGGCTGGTGGCTGGATGAATGACGTGTTGTTTATTGTTTGACATTCTGGTTCACCACCCCATCATCTTACTCTGCCTTCCCTTGCCTCGAGTGCAAGTTCCCCGTGAGCTGAAGTGCAGACCCACTGGCTTTTTTCCTCCTTTGCTCTCTCTCCAGCTGACAGAGATGGAGTTAAGAAATGTTGGCAGCTAATCCACCTTGGTTTAAGGGCTGCCTGCACTGAGCTAAAAGAATGACTGGAATTTGAGGAGGAGGGGAGAAGATACTCTGACCTCCGCAGGCCTGTGGCCTCCAAGCCGCACCCCCTGTTCCCTTTCTCCCACTGACAGCCTCCTTTATCCACACCCTCCCCACTGTTTTAAGAACAGGCTGGATATGGTGCATTTGCTGATGTGGAACGTTACGTGTTTCACTCTCATCCCTTCAGCCCTTTGACATTGTTCTCTGTTCTCCCCCCCCCCCCGCCCCCAATGCCACAGGTCCGAGTGCATCAACAAGTTTGCTTCCGTCTTTGGGACAATGCCTCTCAAAGTGGTGGAGCACCGAGCTGACCCCGTCCTGTACAAAGATGACTTTCCTGAGAAACTGAAGAGCTTCCCCAACATTGGCAGCTTATGAAACACGCCACCAGTGGCCGTCTAAGCCTGGACACAGGAAGCGAGCGAACACAGCCTCCTCAGCACCCTGGTACCAGGGCAGGGCATTTTAGGGTGGGAAGGTGACACTCTACAGCTCTGCCAAGAGCCGGAAGCTGGAAGAGTGGCCAAGCCCCCGGAGCCGTTCACCTTCAGCCCTCCAGCTCCTCATGATATCCGGGGAATTCTCTTGGAAAATGCCAAACGGAAGCCCTTGTGGCGTGGCGTTAAGTCCAGCTTGGGCTCCCTTCATCTTCAGTCTCCAAATAAACTGTCTAAAAGAGGACACGTCACTGACCAAAGACCGCCAGCAGGAAGAGCCCTATCGGCTGACTTTAGGTTTGAGGAATCATGGAAAAGGTACCTCAGTTTTAGCTATGTCAAATCAGTGAGTTCTCGGGAAGAAAAAGCCAAGCCCAGTGATGCAATGCAAAATCCAGCCATCGAGAGTGTGCCTTGCCACAGGCTTCAGGACTTGGGCTCTGGATCTGCTACTCACTGTTGTGTTGGGATTCTATAAGTTCCATGAACTGTTCATCTTTGGCTTGGCTTGGCTTTTTGATATGATTAAATTTTATTTTTTATTCATTTTTCTACTCTGTCTAAAGCAATGATTGTCGATAAAACAATGACTCTTCTTTCTTCATCTGTGTATTTAACTCCATCTTCTGGCCTGCTGACAGTCTCCTGCCCCTCCCAGGGAAGATGCATGGGCAGGGGATTGCCTGCTGCCCTGTGCATCAGCCAGAGGAAGGTCTCCAGATGAAAACCATTCTAGGAGCAGATGATTCTCAATCCCTGCAAAGGAACTGGTTTGCTCCCTGATTCAATCCAGCCTATGCCATACACATATTTTCAGGGGAAATCAAAGGGCCTGTCGTCACCATACATTGAGTCCCCCTAGCCAGGACCACATACAAGTTGTGACCCCCCACCCCAAGAGTATGCCAGTTTTTCTTTCATTCTTTTGATAAAAACTTAGCATTGACCAGGGAGGTTCTGGCTAATGTTAAATGGTGCTTTAACAACTGCTTTACAACAGTTGTCAGTATATTTGAATTGTTAAATTTCAGCATTTAGTAATAGAGCACATGTGTGACTTATACCTCTTTAAGCCCAGTTGATGAACAAATCTACTCTGGCAAATGTTAAATGCTATGGATTCAAAACAGATTTATCTGGCTCTAATATTAAGATTAGCCACAGTTTGGGCTTTCGCCATAACATATGTCCCCAGAACACAGAAATACATAACTATTTGCTTAGAATATGGATGTCGTTACTGAAACCTCGTTGTATGGCAGTTGAAGTCACTACACGCCCCCATCTTCCTGCTGAGTGACATGAAGGTGAGTGGTTGCTCTGGAGATTTTAAACTTGCCGGCAACAGGAGTCACTTCAGATATATTCTCACAGACTTTGAAAAGTCAGCGACTGTGTAAACGGAACACTTGAAGGTGGAAATCATTAGAGCTCTGTCTTTCTAGTTAGCAGTGATAGCATCATTAACCATTAAAGCTGCAAACAACGAAGGAGCATCACATCCCTTTTATTCCCGCTCCAGATGCAGACGTTGACACTGTGATTGGTTCAGCACACTACAGCTGCAAACCCAGGCACTTAATGTTATTATGTGGATAATTACTAGTCAGTAGGGAACACGTGTTGACCGTGAGAAAGCTTTCTGTCGTTATCCAGCTAAACCTTTCTAAGGGTTTCCTAGAATTGGGGGTAAGGAGAGGGGAGGGCTGAACATAAGTTCTTCCTGCCAGACTGATCATAGCCAAAGAAGTAAACCTGGAATAGATCCGAATCTATAAAATGCCACTCTACCAAATGATAGCCAGAACAGGAAAAAATAATTGGTTGATGCCCTCTAGAACATAATCTTCTTTTAAAAACAAGAGGGGAAAATAACAAGGGCGTATGCATGTTGAAAGCAATCAAATCTCTTGGCTGGCAGAGTTAGAAACAACAGTGCCCACCTCAAAGATGGTGGCGTACTGCACCATTTGGAATGTATTTCACTGTTCACAGTCTTGGTGGTAATCTACTCTCCCACATCAGGCTCCTGAAAGGGCTCATTGTGTGTCTTCTAGGTCCCCCTTTCCATCCTGTGATTTTTACTGTTGCATTACACCACACTTTATAAATCTAAGCCTGTTCTTATTTCATAGCATCAACTGTGACTGAACTAGTTTGAAGCCATGATTGTATGATCCTCAACATTGTACCCTCTGCCTGGTGGATTAGTCTGTCAGCCACTTTTTTTCCTTGTTTGTTTCTTGTGTTGTTTTTTGTTTTGGGATGGTTTTTTCTTTTCCCCCCCTTTTTTCTTTTAAAACTTTATTAATCCTTTAATTTGGGGAATGGAATTCTTTAACCTGAGTTCACTGGGACACCCCAGGAATCATGTTACTGTGATTTTTGTCACCATTGTAGGACTCCTTGGGCATTCTTCTAAGAGTATTACAATTTTATTTGGAATATCTCACTACTTTTAGAAATGTTAGAACTTAGACTTTGCAAGATAGCATAAATTAATTTATAGAATGAGTTATTTTATCCTAGGCATGTAAATCTCAAAATGGGTTGAAAGTGAAACAGGAATGTAGCATGTGATCAAGATTTGTGAGTGCAAAGGGGCTAGAAGTTCAACCCTCTTACCTGTGTGTCCCTGAGCTGATAACCAGCAAGCAAAAGCCTGGCTTCCAAGGCCTCTCCCATAGCTCAGGTTGGGGTCATCAGCTCTTGGGATGCCATAGAGCCTGTTTTCAGAAGCGGAACAATACTACTAATTAAAATGGCATGTTTTGGCCTACAGCAGACAACAGCTGGTTTTAGATTAAGAGATCTATTTAAAGAAATTGCGTCCTACTGGCCTGCAGAGATGAACCTGAAAGGCTCTGGCTCAAATGTCTCTGTGCATAGAGTCTGCCCACGCCTTTGCCCCAAGGACCCAGCTCGCCAGGCCCTTTGGAGTGTCATCGTTGGAAATGCTGCCTGTTAACACTAATAGTTAATATCTTTTTTTTCCCTCCTATATTTTACCGAGCCTCACACATATTTGGGCAAAAGCCTCCTTTGCTGGGAAAATATCAGGTTTGTTTTGAGAATCTTTGCCTCTTTCCGGTCAAGGAGGCTATGTTGTCTCCTCTTACTCAGTGTCACCGAGTTCAAAACTGCTCTGGTGCCTCTGTGCTTACAACCCATGTGCTTACAATGGTGCTTCGAAGGTGTGGCTTTCAGGGCTCATTTGTGAACTGCCTTTGAGTAAAAGTGACCCTGGCATGGCCTGTGCTGGGAGAGAGGCCCCAGTTGCTCCCCCTCATCAGTGGAAGGCGTTGCCCACAGCCCTCTGAACCCAGCTGCTTTCTGAGGTGACAGTCTCTGTTGGCATCACACCAACAAGACTGGCAAGTTTCACCCCACGTTCTAAGATAGGATTGCTGGGTTAGAATCCAAGAACTGCTGATGGCTTTCAGGTAAAGTTAAAACCGCTACGAAGCAGAGGCGAGGCCTGGGAAGCGCTTGAACTGTAGGGAAATGCCTTCAGGCCAGTCGGAAGATCCCATGAGGACTTAGCAGAGCAGAAAGCCTTTGTGTGTGGAAGCCATCCGTTCCGAGTCTGGTGAGCTTCCTGGCTTTGAGGACAGCTTCTTTGGGGGATGATGGCTTTTTTCATTCCTCTTGGCCCAGGTAGTCTTTCATTGGAGGAAGAGAGGCTCCAGCAACCCTGGCATGGAGAAGCAGGCGGGGAATGCTAACCTGGCCCTGCGCCTCTTCTGGCCACTTCCTTCGGAGGGAGCGGTTCTGGCCGGATCCTCACGGTGCTGGCAGACACTTGCCTCCAGGAAGACTTTGGAAGCACCCTGAGCTTTCCATTGCCAGGTCGGAGGCTTGCGAGCCCCGTGGGCCCATCCCTGTCCACCTCATCCAGGGCTCGGATGTGAGCCCTGGGACTTGCAGTACTAGATCAGGAGCTGGTGCTCGCCCGTTTCCTACTTCTGGGAAAACCAGAGCCAGCACTGGCCGCGTTATACTCCCCACACACAGTCTGCTCTTCTCCTGGCAAAGAAATGTCAGTCAACAGGAATCCACCCTAAGTCTTCCTTCTCTTCAGGGTAGAAGCTCTGATTTCATCTGAAAACTAGGTGAGCACACGCAGAACTCAGCCCACAGCCTCTCTTCTCCTTCATTAAAGGTTCTCAGGAATCCCCAGTCTCAGGTTTGCAGACTTCCAGTTTTCCAGAGAGGACGTGTGGATCTATCCAGGCAGCTTTGTGCTGAGACATATTTCATCGTTCCTGCCCACAGCAGGAAGACTAGGGGGCAGGGGACTTTGGTCCTCTCTCCTTCTTAAGAAGTGGTTGTGTCACCAGCAATTCCGTGTCTGGCATTTTATTTTCCTGAAATCGACCACCTTCTCCTTTCTTCTGCTCTCAATTGGCCGACCTCCTGGGCACAACTTTCCTGACTCTCCCTACAGAGCAGACAGTTGATAGTCAGGAGACAGAAAGGATGCCTGTGTGGCGTCCAGAGGTGCCAGCAGCTGTGTCTTCTAGATGTTTCCTCAGCCTCTTGCCTTGACCTCTCAGGAGTTCCACGTGGCTGGGTGGTGCAGGCAGAGCAGGCCCTGGGCTCCATATGTCTTAGACTAGAGCCTCCAGCCAACTCATGCCATTGTATAAGGCTGGCTGGCCTGCCTGCCTGCCTCTGCCTGCCTTGAAAATACATCTCTTTGGACGACCCTTGATGGCTGCGAGCACCACTGGCTGTTTCATCTAATACCAAAGAGGAACCTCAAGGAACTTGCAGGTTTCTGTGATCACAGCTGAAGACCAACCAACTGGTTATTGGTCCAGCTGAGCTAAGAGCTTTTTCTTAGTCATTCACATGTTCCACATGTCTATCTAAATGTCCACTTTGCCAAAAAAAGGCCATTGTCCTCTTCTCAAGAAGCTCAAGTTCAGAGGCAGTTCT